GGAGGAGCACAAACTCCCACTACTCCCGCTCCGGAGCAAATGGCTCCCTAGAATCAGGCTCCAACAGCCTCGCCAGTTGGGGTAGTTCAGCTAGTTGTTGCAGCACAGACCGGTGATAGGCCCGCCATGTCTTTTGAGACCTTATTGAGACTGGATAAGTTTACTAAGCTCTTTCCAGTTCACTTCAGTGGTACACCTTCTGAGGACCCACACCGTTGTTTTTATGGATTATTCACTATATTTCAGAATTTACTTCCGCAATTGTTCTTTGTTATTAATAAATTTTAAAAATTATTTTAAAAATTGATAATATTATTCTAACGTTAGTTTGCCTAACAAGTGAAATGTTAGGCGCCATTACAAGTGGATCCTTCAAAAATTCAGGTTATTGAGACATGTCCTCCTCCTTCATCTGTCAAAGAGGTTTGTAGCGTTCTCGGGCTTACGGATTATTGTCGTCAATTTTTAATAGCTATGCCCACCTAGACTTAACTTTGACTGATATTCTCATGAAAGACAATTTTCGTTGGACGGAATCAGAATCCACTGCCTTTTCCACTTTGAAGAAAGCCTTGAGCTCTGTTCTGGTTCTTTGTTTACCAAACTTTAAGAAATTTTTTTCCGTGGAAACAGATGCATATGGGACTGTCATAGGTGTTGTTCTTACTCAAGATGGTCACCCTATAACTTTCTATAGCCAGAAGCTCTCCCCTCGAATGCAGTCAGCCTCAATCTACCTATTGGGGCAATAAGTTCTTGATTATTATTGATATCAGCCTCTTAAATCACTCACGAACCATGTCATACAACTCCAGAACAATAATATTGGTTGACTAAGCTAATTGGTTATGATTTTGACATTTTATATCGTCTTGGAAAGCTTAATGTTGCAGGTGATGCCCTTTCATGTCTGCCCACTTCTCAATCTCTTTCTTTTTCTATCCTTGAGTTTAATTTGATAGTTAAATTAAAGGAACCTAACAGACCCAGACTTGCTAGAGTTACAACACAATCTCGCAACTGATCCGACTACACTTCCTCATTTTTCTTTTCTTGAACGACTTCTTTATAAACATCGACTAGTGGTGCAACAAGATCGTGACCTTCGTCATCTCTTGCTTCACGATATTCGTGCTTCCAAAGTGGATGGTCATGCCAGTGTCGCTCGTACCTTCTATATATTAGCTTCCAATTTTTATTGGAAAGGCATATGTGCAGATGTTAAACACTTCATTCAGGAGTGTTAAACTTGTTAGTAGATGAAATATTCTTCATTCAAGCTTGTTGGTCTCCTTCAACCTATTCCATTTCCTTCGGTGATCTTTGTAAAGATTTTTATGGACTTTATCACCGGTTTGCCTCATTCCAATGGTCACACTATTATTTTGGTTATTGTGTATCGCTTGTCAATGTATGGTCATTTCATTGCGTTACCTACTTTCTTCACGAGCTAGAAAGTTGCTGAATTATTTGTTCATAAATGTATTGGTCTCTATGGATTTCCCACAAAAATCATAACTGACCGTGATCCTATTTTTCTCTCTAAATTTTGGAAAGAGATCAATCGATTATAGGGCACACAATTGGCCAAAAGTTCTCCCTACCATCCTCAGACCGATGGCCAAACTGAGGGTTTGAAACAATGCCTGGAGATTTATTTATGCTGCTTTTTTGTTGATTCCAAGCTATATGGTTTAAGTTATTACCTTGGGCAGATTTTTGGTACAATACCTCCTTTCAACATGGCTCTAAGATGACCCCCTTTGAAGTGGTTTACGGCCGAACCCCTCCTACCATCACTAGGTTCATTATCGACTCCTCACATAACCCTGTTGTGGTAGAGAGATTTAGGTAGCAAGATGAAACCTTAGCCATTCTCAAGGATCATCTCAAGCAAGCTCAGGACCGAATGAAGTCCTTGGTAGACTTTCGTAGTTGGTGACTGGGAGTATATCTGTCTTTGCCCCTACATGAAACTTTTCCTCCGCTTCCAATGTTATAGCAAACTCAGTCGTCGATTATTTGGTCCCTTTCAGATTCTTCAACGTGTTGGTGAATTTGCTTATAAGTTATATCTTCCTCTTCTTCCAGAATTCACAATGTCTTTCGTCTCAGGCCTTTGCAAGTGCATGGGAATCCATCTCAACAAATCACCCCAATTGATCTTCTACACCAATCCAGTCCTATGATCCTTCAACGTGAACAACTTCTCTAAGGGAGGACACCAAGTGGATCAACTTTTTATCCGACGGATTGGATTGTATCCAAGGCTACCTGGAAAGACAAACATACTAATGCAACGAAGATTTCCTAATCTGAATATTAGGGTCAAGGTTCGCCTTGAAGGGATGCAATGTAACGAGCCTAATACATGAGTAGACCCAGCCCAGATGTAGCAACAGATCAACACATCCACCTAAGCATTTTGATAACTTTGTGGTTCCAAAAGAGAATATCTCTGCCAAAGTCGTTGTGGAGAAGCACCCAACTAAGCAGAAGGACAATTATACTACCATATAAACCAGACTTGAGTAGCTATAGAAAAATGCATATTGAGCGATCTTTTCTTTGTTGCCTTAGCTTTTATTTAGATCTGGAACCTCCCTCCCTTCTTCTTTTTGGGTTTCTTCAGACTTAAGTTGATTTTTCTGATGTTTTTGGTTTGTAATCGAGACTGATTTTCAGTTATATTTAAGCTATTTAGTTGATTATATACTCTCATTTTTTCATACCAAATTGTCTAGACACCACCCTAGTTTTACATTCTTTAACGGGCATAAAAACCGAGCAACCAGACTAAACCGAACTACTTCGGTTCTTTGGTTTTGGTTCGTTGGTTTTGGTTCGTTGGTTTTCTGTACGGTGTTCGATATTAGAATATCAGTATTTTGGTTTTTCGATTCGGTCTTCGGTATTAGGTATCGAAATTTCGGTATACCGAAATACCGAACTTGTTTACTTCGTATAGAATTGTCTCTGGTTGGTCCCATCTAAGTCTAGATCCTTCATTACAGAAGTCATCTTTCCCCTGTATTTCTAAAGGACGAGCGTATGAAAGAAAAGGGGGAGCCATAGTGGTAGGGCATTTTCGGGTTATGTCTATGCTGTGACCTTGTTTAGTATGCATATTAAGTAGCCTAATTTTAATTTGAGTCTAACTCATAACTCAAACTCTAAGTCTCGTATGTGTACCCAAATAACATCTTAAGACTTATAGCCTAATTGATTTTTTATGTGCTTTGATTTAAAAACATATGAATGCTGCTTTAGCAGTGCCCAGTGACAAGGTTTAATTGTTTAAGACTTATAATTGCTGCTTTGATTGCTCACCACTCACCATTATTTTGTATGTGCTTTACTACTGAAAATGCTTTAACACTAAGTCACCACTAAAAGACTTATTTTTTTTATATGCTTTGGTTTAAGTCTTTATATTTATTTATGGGTTAGAGTAACTGTTTTGTTTATGTTTAAAGAATATTATTGTTTAACGTAGAAGTCTTTGTTTGTTTGAGTTTGAGCCTCTGTTTTATATGTGCTTTGCCAAAGTTACGTTGGCGTTAATGTATTGCTTAAAAGTCACTAGGCTTGATATTTGACAATGTCACACTTTATTGTTAATATCTCATCATTTCTCTATAGAGGAAAGCAATTGAAGTGGCTGGGATTGAACAAGAAAATGGAGAAATTTTATTTTCTTTTAGTTTATCAGAATACATTGATATTACTATATTTTAGTAAAGTACTAAAATAAAACTTGAGGAATATTTACATAAGCTAAACTACCGCTTCACGATTATCCCCATCATCGCAATCGGCCATATTGTCATATTGTCCATATTCTTGTATGTATAACTCCGAACCGAATAAAAAATACCGAACTGTATTGAAATCATACCGAACCGAACAAGAAATACCGAACCGAACTTTGGTACAGTGTTTGATATATACATTTGATAAACCGAATACCGAAATATCGAACTGAAGTTCTTACATACCGAACCGAATTACCGAACGACCACCTCTACTACAACCTTTACATCTTAATCACTTGTAAAACTATAGATACTACTTTCAGTAACTCTTGTCCGATGTTAAACATGCATCACGCTTCCAGATTTTCGTACAAAAATTATTGCACGGATCAAATAATTATTACACATAAAATGCTTCAAAATTTAATGTTACTTCTGCCTATGATGATGAAGTATCCTAAATGCAAAAGGCAAGAAAGGAGAAATATCCTAAGTGCCAAAGACAAGAAAGAAGGAGAAAACTTTTTGGTGGATTCAATACTGTTTCTGGTAAATTGAATTAGTCTGGAATGATGATTGATGAAAATACATGCTTGCAAATGCAATCATGGAACATTCCAATATTATAACAAAATAATTACTTATAAAGTAATGTTATTTTTTTAATACGTGCAAATAGAGAATCAATTAGTAACATGTGGGTTCACAACATAATTAAACTTAATGTAGACAATCTACCAAATACTGTTAAATTCATAGACGTAATGAAAACCTGTTCACCCCAGTAACCACAAATCGCGTGTGTACAATTTGGTGCAATCCCAAATCGTTACGTACCAGATCTACTAATCCACTCTTTCTTTACCTGCAAACGGCCCACACAGCAACCACCACGGATCCAGTCCAATATAATCCAATCGATGTATGTAAAAAGAGGAAAATTAAGTTGTTGACATAATCATAACATTGCCAATAAATTAGCATATTCTACTAACTTCTTCTTGGCCACAATTGGACAAAGAACTAGTTGCCTGAATCTCCCCCCTTCAAATGACGAATGCATTCAAAGCAGCACTATTTCTTTCCAAACAATTAAGAAGTAGAACAAGTGAATATAAAATGATTTCTTTTGGTAAATTAATGATAAAGATATACAATCCGAACGAGGAATAAAATTACTTTGAAGAGAATTAACATGTACCGCTACAGTACTACAACATAAGAAAAACAAAAAATGTTGAGGAAAAGGACAAGAGTGCCCTCATTTTCATGAATTTGGATGATCCCAATCAAGTACCCATTGGCAAAGAATCTCTTGGGAAGTCATTTCTGTCTGCTTCAGCTCTCCCTCTCTCACACTCTCATTATTTAACCACTATTTTCCCCTACTTTTCCTCTTCATTCTCATATCAATCTACAACATAGCTACCCAAAAAGAAAGCAGGAAATAGAATTATTTCTTCTTCCTCCTCCTCCTCCTCCCCCTCCTCCTCCTCCTCTTCTTCTTCTTCTATTTTTCTTTAGCTTTTTGCTTCATTTTCTAAAGAAGAGCGCAACCAAAAAAAAAAAAGTGAGAAAGATATTGAATAAACATGTCTTGTCAATATAATTTAACCACGACGACCTCTTCTCTCAGAATATTCTCCCTCAGCTCCCGCCGCTACGCATCGAATTCTTCTGCAAGTCAACCTCATAAGTTCCTTAAACGTGAGCTCTAGTTTTACTACTCTCTCCCCTTCTGCTTTTCCACTTTCTTTTAGTTATTCTTTTTCAACTGAGTAGTACTAGAAGTAATATTGTTACAAAAAATATTGGAAGTTTAAGTACAAAACAATATTACTTATAGGCAGCGGGTGTTCTACAGAACAAGTACGTTTCAGTTCCAATCCGCAATGCGATGAGGTTTCAAGACCTTGCACACAAGGTATCGACTAGACTTTTTTTATCCCTTTCTTTTGTCTGTATTTTTATTGACAATACCGATTTGTTACAAATTAAAATGCAGAATACAAAGAGGTGTCCAAAAATGGTTTGCCAGTTATCAAATGGGACGACAACGTGGAGGAAGCAGACAGTACAGAAGAAGAAGAAGAAACACACGAGGTGGTTTGGCCAAGAAAAGAAAATCCTCTTGCTTCTTCTTTTCCCTTAAGTTTAAATTATGACGAGCCAAAAATTTATAAACTAGATTCAAGAAGATACTAAAATATCATTGTTGGGATGCGAATCTGTGACATAAAGCAATTTTGCAATCTCATTACCGTTACACTAGTATATTCTCTTATGACAAAGAGATTGAATTAAATCCCCTTCACTTCACCTTACTCCGCCCCTATATACATTGATAGTTTAGTGCAAAAGAATATTTACACTAGCTATCGTATGACCTATGAGATATTGCATGTAACTATTTTTAAAAAGAGAGATAATTAGAAGTGAAAGATAAAACAAGTTACCTGGTACAACATATTGAAATATACACATGACATAAAAATTCTTTACGCTTTTGGCGTCCATAAGTTAAATTACATTCTACTTTGACTACATATATTCTTGAATATTTTTTTCTTTTTGTGGTTGATTGTTCTTAATTGGAAAATTATGTTACATAAAAGGTGTACACATCAAATAAGATAAAGGAACATATTGATGCCGTTCGGTTAATGTTGCAATCAATGGATGATGGAGAGATAAGTATATCAGCTTATGACACAGCTTGGGTTGCTCTTGTGAAAGACATTAATGGAAGTGATACTCCTCAATTCCCTTCAAGTCTTGAATGGATTGCCAACAATCAACTTGCTGATGGTTCGTGGGGTGACAAGTCAATCTTTTTGGCTCACGATCGAATCATCAACACATTGGCCTGTGTTATTGCTTTGAAATCTTGGAATTTGCACACTGACAAAAGAGAACTAGGTAATGATGTTTACCTAATCACTGCTTACTAGTTTATGTTATCATTCATCATTATTATACTCCATTATTTAGTTAATCCATATGTTGAGGTAATCATGTAGTATATTGTCTTTTTTTTTTTTTTTGATAGGAATGTCGTTTGTCAGAGAGAATTTAAGCAAGATTGGAGATGAAAATGCTGGGCATATGCCAATAGGATTTGAAGTGGCGTTTCCTTCACTAATTGAGATTGGAAAAAAGATAAGCATTGATATTCCGGATGATTCTCCTGTCTTGAGAGAGATATATGCTAGAAGAAATCTAAAACTTACAAGGTATATATATAGTCAAGCACATCTTAAACCTACTGCTCTTGAGCAGGAACAATTTATTTATGTTTGCACTAGCTGAACAAATTAATCTTAGGAGATTAATTAAAGTCACATTTCGTTCACTAAACATGAATAAGAGATATGGATACAAGTTTATAAAAATGTCATATAACTACATACAAGTATAAGTAAGTTTTTCCCTGACTTATCTCTTCTTACTTTTCTCCTTTTCTTTGTCGAGAAAGAGAACAAAAGAACAAAGGATAGCTCATTAGTCGAAATTCCTGTCATTTAAATCTTATATGTTTCCTATCATGAATAAATTTAATCTATAATTACACATATATATGCTCTCTTCATCCCCTTTTATTTGACTTTCTTTTATTTATTCTCAGAAAAATCAACATATTTTCTTAAATATCTACATGCACCAGTTTCATAAAGCCATTAGTGTATATCGATCATAGTACTACTTTATATCAATTTGACATCTAAATGTATCTTATAGTAATCAATACTTTAACATTCACCAACTACACTCAATTATTATATAAGAATTTTAACTTCTATATACTTACAATGTTGAATGTTTCTTCGTAATTAGATATTTTAAAAAATATATAACTATATGTAACCTAACATAAGAAGTGGTATTAGCAAGATAAAATAAGGTAGATTACATATTACAATGCGTTAAATTAAATGTTGCATTCCAATATGTTAGTCTACCTTTCTTTTGTGAATTATCCCAAAATATTGTCTAGGTTCCTTGAAGAAAAGTTTTCCTTCCTTTTACAAAGATCCAATGGCTCTACTTTTACACTTTTCAATAAAAGATTATATTTTATTCTGCCCTTCTACAATAAGAAAACGAAATATCTACAAGAAAACCAAATATCTCCAATAAGCTTCTCAACATATACTAATCATTCATATTTTCAATTCTTTGCCAAATGAACAATCAAATTAGGACGGATGGGGTTATTCCTCTTTCACTTTAAACTCAATAAAAGCAGTGACATATTTTCTCCATTTTCTTTAGGCGATATAAAGTGGAACTCTTTTTACTATTCCATGTTATATGTGTTTAATTTTCCATGGGATGTGAGTAATGATTATGTGTGTGCGCAATAGGATACCAAAAGACATAATGCACAAAGTGCCCACAACGTTACTCCACAGTTTGGAAGGAATGCCAGATTTGGACTGGCAAAAGCTACTTCACTTGCAGTGCGCTGATGGGTCTTTCCTCTTTTCTCCATCCTCCACTGCCTTTGCACTTATGCAGACTCATGATACTAATTGTCTCAATTATCTCGCAAACACTGTTCAGAAATTCAATGGCGGAGGTACGTACGTATTCAACGAAATTAATCACGGCAAGACCTTTTAGATCTAGACCTAATTCAACTGAAAAAAGTTTAATGAATATTTGTTTGGTTCTTTATTTCGCTAATCATTTAGTTCCGAATGTATATCCGGTGGACTTATTTGAGCACATCTGGATCGTTGATCGATTGGAAAGACTTGGAATTTCTCGGTATTTTAAGGCAGAAATTAAAGAATGTATTGATTACGTCAATAGGTACGTAAATATTACACCTACAAATACATTTGAGCAAGTTAGGAGAAATTTAAGGACTAGTATATATGATATAGGACTAATGATCATTTGCAGACATTGGACAAATAAAGGAATCTGCTGGGCTAGAAATTCCAGAATTCAAGACATTGATGATACGGCCATGGCTTTTAGACTTTTAAGGTTGCATGGCTACGTGGTTTCTGCTGGTTAGTAGTTCACCAAAACCTACATGTCTCGTTCCCTTCATATAATTGAATTACCAATCCATTGTTTTATTAGCAATGAGTTTAAGTTACGTACGTGATGTTGTAAATAAATTTTACATCAGTTGCATAATTTACTCTAATTTTCGGGTTATCGGTTTGAATTTATTTTTATCATTAATTAGCTGTTATGCTAGTTCAATTTTGTTTGATTATATAAAAAGAATGTAAACTGCCAGCGGACGCGGATCCATAATGTAAGCTATGAGTTTGACAAAGGTAGTATATATAGCTTTGGCCTAGACCCTGTATACTTTCTTCGTTTCGTTCCTTTTTAGTTGTGAGGATAAGATAGCAAATTGTAATTTGACTAATATACCCTTATCAATTCTTTAGTTTTGTCTACGTGCCTCTTAATTCTAGAATAATTAATACAAAGAGAGAAGTTGGAAAAAATAATTAATTCTCTCTTGATTTTCTAAAATGACAAGTATTTAGGAATAATTATTTTTAGTATAACAACTAAATAGGAACGGAGGGAGTATGTGTTAAGAAATTCACCAAAATATATACAAATATTAAATTTCGAACTCAATGATTAGCACTTGAGGTTGTTGTCGTAGAACCCATTATGGATCCGTCGCTGTAATTATATGAAACTTAAACTCTTTAGTAGTGCTGAGTTTTTTTTTTCCCCAACAGACGTATTCAAAAACTTTGAGAGCAGGGGTGAATTTTTTTGCTTCGTGGGACAATCGAACCAGGCAGTGACTGGAATGTATAATCTGTTTAGGGCTTCCCAATTGATGTTTCCTGGAGAGAAGATACTTGCTGATGCCAAGAACTTTTCCTCCAATTTTTTGCAAGAAAAACGAGCTCAAAATCAACTTCTAGACAAGTGGATCATCACCAAAGATCTCCCCGGAGAGGTAAAAAGTTAATTTTAAAGAAAAGACTAACAATTTCAGTAATCAAACCAATTGTTTATGAAATTTAAATTAAAATAAATCAAAATGTAGTATTTCACAAAAAATCAACATAAGTATATATGCTCCAAAAACATTCTCCCAAAAGTTAATCCAAGTTATGACTGACTAGTGAGATTTGTTATAGCGGCTGAGTATGTTGACCAATATTTGATTATAATTAGTTGGATGTTCGAGTCACATGGAGAGTAAGTAGAAATACTATTAATCCTCCTGCATAACTTTTTAACAACATTGTTTTTCAATTTTTTCAAAACTAACTTATTAGCGATTAAGTCAAATCCAAGCGCCCCCCTTGATTAATTGGTTTCTCTTCGGTTTTCATTCGACAATTAATAATTGCTACTTTATCTAGAGAACTTCGTTTTCCTTCACACATTTTCTTCTTTTCTTTTTTTGTAATACTATAATTGTTTTGTGTGTATAACAGGTAGAATATGCATTAGACATACCGTGGTATGCCAATTTGCCTCGGATAGAAACAAGGTTCTTTCTGGAACATTATGGTGGTGAAGATGATGTGTGGATTGGTAAAACCTTGTACAGGTACTTTTTGCAATTAATGTTTCTCTAATAAAAATAAAATTACTTCCTTCTCACCTTTTTCCTTCATTTTTTCTACTTCATTAATTTAAAAAGGTCAAAATATATACCCGTGATATTCTCCACACTTTTTCCTCTTTCTTCAAATAAAATTGTCTAACTACTTGCAAAAGTTGTGTTTTGTCTGCAGTCTTCATGATTGTTTTGTTTTGTTCTACCGGGAGAACGTATTGAACTATGAATTTCTCTACTTTTCATTATCTATTTTATATGGTATTCTTTCCTTTAAACTTGCCTAGTTCAATTCATAGTTCAATAGGCACTCTTCGTCTTTTTCATGGAAACTAACCTACGACCGTAATATTGTTCGGCGATGTTGAAGCAAGTTGTCAACCATGCGATAGTGATTGTTTTGTATAATAACTCAATGTTTGGCCTACGTACCAACGAACTCCTGAAATGTCCTAATCAGCAGCTTCTTTTATAACCATAACTAATCCAAATTTGTATTGCATGGTGTTCATCTAAGGAGAAAGTGCTCCATACTAGGAATTTCACTAATCCTATAATTTGAATTAGAGACATTTAGTTAAACGTGGAGGGACTCATATGACCCCTATATCCGATCCCTTGGAGGTTTCACATTTGAGCTAGCAATTTCCTACATCTACAACAACGATAAATATAGGCCATTGTTCATAAAAAGTGAGATAACTTTATAACTGATTAAGATAGTGTAAAATAATTTACACCACAAATGTATATAAGTTCAGTCCTTAAAAATATATTTCTGTAAATTTTATTGAAATTAAGTACTCCTTCAATTGTCAGGATGCCACTTGTCAATAATAACACCTATCTGGAGCTGGCAAAATTGGATTACAACAATTGCCAAGCAGTGCATCAGCTTGAGTGGAGAAGCATTCTCCAGTAAGTCTTACTTATATTGAGTGATCATGCACCTTCAATAGTTGTGATCATGCACCTTAAATAGTGAGGTTAGTAATAGTAAGTTGATGGATACAATTTTATTAATGAGGACGAAATGAACTGGTCACTAGGTAGCTAGCTAGATCCTCTTGATTCTTACCATTGGAAAATCTAGGATTTAGATCAATTGGTTAAGAGTGAGTATTACCTTTATATATGCATAGATTTTAGTTTTTTTGTCTTTTGCATATATCTGTATATATAATTCGAGTAGAAAGCAATGAGTTCAGCTGAACCTACCTTGATTCGCTTCTAATTCTTGGATGATTGCATGCGAGCAGGTGGTACAGAGAGTGTGGATTAGGAGAGTTTGGATTGAGCGAAAGAAGACTATTGGTGATGTACTATTTGGCGACTGGGANGTAGAAAGCAACAGGTTCAGCTGAACCCACCAAACCTACCTTGATTCTCCTCTAATTCTTGCATGGTTGCATGCACGCAGGTGGTACAGAGAGTGTGGATTAGGAAAGTTTGGATTTAGCGAAAGAAACCTATTGGTGACGTACTATTTGGCGGTGGGGTGTGTATTTGAACCAGAAAGGTACAGAGAGCGGCTGGTTTGGGCCAAAACCGCTGCTATTATGGAGACTATTAAACGCCACTTTGGCAGTTCCCAAATCTCTGGGGAACACAAGACTGCTTTTCGTCACGACTTCGCACATAGCAGCAGCAGCAGCTTACACTGCCTGAACTCTAATGCTAGGTGAAAATCCATAGCTACGATGCCTAATTCCTACTTCAAATAAAAATCTGTATATAAGTACGTTCAGGCATGCTTGCTTTAGAGATTTCGATAAAGGAATCTTCAAATAAAATTTTCATATTTGGAAACTACTAATTAGAAATTATAAGTCACAATAGTAAACAATTCAAAATATTTACAAAATATATGATAAAAATATCATCAAACGAAAAATTCTTTTGACTTTCTAAATAGTAAATGTGTGTGATTTTGTATTTATATAGTACTATTTTTTTTTGTGTGCGAGCATGTGCTCATATGAATACATAATTCCAGCTAAAAATAAGAGATTATTGATTGTGGTCCTAAGAATTCTTACTGTTACTATTCATGCATTTACTATTAAAGAGGTGAACCCTTTCGATTATGTGAGCTACTTTTTTGTTGTTTTGAACTGGGGAATGGCAGGTATAGGACAGGACAGAGACTCGTTGGGACTCTACTCGAAACCCTAAAGCAGCTCTCACCGGATAGCAGAGATATCCATCAACACTTGCGTCATGCTGTTAGTCCTGCTTGCTATATTTTCTTTAGCAGTTCAATATTGAAATATACTCATTCCGTTTCAATTTATGTGAACCTATTTCTTTTTTAGTCCGTGTCAAAAAAAATTATCACTTTTCTTATTTGGAAACAATTTACCTTTATGCAATGATTTATAGGCACACAAAATATATGTAGCTCATCTTACACCACAAGTTCCAAAGTATTCTCTCTTTTCTTAAACTCCGTGCCCAGTCAATCTGTGCCCAGTCAAATGAGTTCACATAAATTGAAAAAGATGGGAGTATATGGTAATCTTTCTTTACGACAAAGAAACCTCAGAAAATATTGTTAATGTCATGAACATGTACAGTGGGAAAAGTGGCTGGTGATATTGGAAGAGGGAGGCGAGGGAAAAGGAGATGCAGAACTCCTAATTCGTACGTTAAATCTCTGTGCCGGCATGTCAGATGAGCTATTGTTGTCGCATCCTATGTATCAAAAGCTCCTCAACATCTCCAATAATGTTTGCCACCGTCTCCGTCTTTTCCAGCAGCATTCTAAGGTTAGATGATAATATGCTGCCAAACTTAGATCAGATGTTGTTTAACTTATATGACCTACAGTGTAAGAAATGTTTTGCATCACTAGGTCGTCCAAAAGATATTTACTGTATAAAATTGATTTGTTATATATACACACACTATTTCTTATCGTGCATACATTCTTAACGTGTATGCATGAGCATCTCTTTAAGGAGGTCAAATGAGCGTGTTGTATTAAAATTGGACGGGTTAAAACGAGCCAATTAATATTATTGGTGCAGAATTCGGAGGATCAGAGGATTGAAAAGCAGCTGGAAATATCGGCATGCATGAAGATAGAATATGACATGCAACAACTTGCTGAGCTCGTGCTATCCCGCTCTGATTGCTCAGATGAGGATCTAGATGACAACATCAAGCAAACGTTCCTTAATGTTGCCAAGAGTTTCTATTATGCTGCTTACTGTAATCCAAGAACAATTGATTTTCACATTGACAGAGTGCTCTTCGAAAGAGTACTTTAAGTATTCTAGTGTGTATCAAGTTTATGTTGGTGCATTATTCTGATCTTGTAAGTTTTTTCTGCACAAAAGACTATCTACGTTTTAAAAGAAAAAAGAAAAAAAAAATATATATATATATATATATATATATACACACACTTTGGTCATTTAAAAAATAACTGCAGGCTCATAAAAAGGAGAATTGGTAACTTGAAAGCTAAAATAAATTACTCGCTACGACAAGTTAAAATACACGAAATCACGAATTGTCTAAGAAAATTAGATCTGAATTGAAAATTTGAAGGTTAATATTACTAAAACAAGGTAAACTAATGAGCAAAAAGGAACAATATCTTTTGATCCAATATATCATTCAAAAAATAATGTTACCATACTTAAAGAGGTTTTTGATTCAACAAATTTGTGTAGTGGTGCATTTGGGAAAGAACATTTGTGTTTGGATTCTTTTGCCAAAAAAGGTCCAACTCAAGTGAGGTGGATGGTAAAAGAGCTTGTCCCTCTGAACCCATCTCATTCAAAAATGGCAGGCAAAGTGATCAGAAGATAGCACATCAAGATCAACCTCAGAGTGAGATGAAATATATATATAGATCAAAACATTAAGATCTTGTTTCCCGTTTGGGACAAGCAAGGGTCAGTTAGACAAGACATATATATAATCTTCCCCAACCACTTTTAATTTTGTATGCACCCTACTAGATACTATTATTGGTACTAGGGTATTTACCAACCTTTAAAAGTTTTCTTCTTTTTTTCTCCAAACAAGCGTAACCTTTAAAATTTCGAAAAGAAAAAAAACGAACAAATCAACAATCAGATAATGGGGTATCTGGAATTAATAATTAATGAAACTCCATAGCTTTTTAAGTATATATTGTTTGAATAACTTCAAAATTTAGATGTATATAAAGCTGAGTGTTCTCTTATTCTCAAGTTTCTGACGAATTAAAAAAAAGGAAAGAAGAGGATAAAGAATGGGAATACGAAATGATGTTTGCCTTGAAAACAAAAAGAAGAGCCATTGGCGTGACTAGAAGGGCCACAAAAGATTTTAAAAACAGATTCCCGACGAAGCATGAGAAAGTGCAAAGCAAAAGCAAGGTGAATATTTTGTAATATATGGTACATAAAAGCAAAGTGAATGGTCATGCTTTAATCTTGCATTCAAACACTTTAATTTTGTCAATGCTCCATAGAGTCTTGATAAAAGAAGAGTATGCTTTTGTATTGAGGCCGAAAATAATAAGATAGCGTCTCTGGTTCCATAGCAAGTGTTACACATCATGTACAAATATAACATGAATATGTATGTGACACGTAAAATTAATAGAGGTGTCTTATTTTACTCAAACTATTAACTCATAAATACATTTTAACTCTTTATTTCTAATTTCCCGGCATCAACTAGCAGTAGCCAACACCAAGGGCTGGCAAAATGGTAATAATTCCAAATAAAGCCTTACGAACTAAGAAGAGTTTACTGGAGAATTACGACAGTAAAATTGGTTGCCGGGCTGAACTTTCATGAAGGTTCATTTAATTCCCCCCCCCCC